AATTCTTTACATATGAATATCTAGCTTTCCTAGMACCATTTTTTCTCTCCAGTGCATGTTTTTGGCACCTTTTTGGCAAGAATCAAATGGCTATCACTTTATAGGTTTGCCTCTATCCTCTTTTCTATTCCAYTTGTCTATGTGTATATTACGACAGATACCACTGAAATCCAAAGGATCATTAAAGACTATTTTGAAAACTTACACATACAATCTGCCAAAATTGAACCAAAAGGATATAAAACCTAAACAGATCAATAACAAGCAATGAAACTGAAGCAGTAATAAAAAGTCTCCCAGCACAGAAAAGCTCAGGAGCAAATATATCCACTGCTGAATTTTACCAGATCTTTAAAGAAGAACCAATATAAATGTTCATCAAACTAGTCCATGAAATGGAAAGGGAAGTAATGCTTCCAAACTCATTCTACGAAGCAAGTATCACCCTCATACCCAAATCAGATAAGAACACACACACACACACACACACACACACACAACACACACAAACCCCCCCCAAATTGCAGACTAATATCCTTGATGAACCTAGATGCAAAAATCCTCAATAAAATACTTTTCAACCAAATTCAACATCACATTAAAAAGATTATACAGCATGATTAGTTTTTAGTCACTAAATATAATATTAGCTGAAAGTTTTATAGCAGTTTTCTGAGAGGTGTTGTCAAAGTTTTATTAGGGTCTTGGAGGGATTTAATTTTGTCAGATGCTTTTTGATATCTTTGAATATGATTATGAGATTTTTTTCTCTAGTGAATTAATATGATATATTACATTGATTTTCAATTATTAAGCTAGCCCTGCATCCACTGAATAAACTCTATTTTGTGAAGCTGTATAATTATTTTTATATGTTGTTGAAATCTGTTTGACGATACTTTGCTAAAGATTCTTATATCTATATTCATGAGGGATATTGGTCTRTAGTTTTATTCTTATGTATTGTTACTATTTTGTTTTGGTGTCAGGAAAAACTGGCTTCATAAAATAATTTGGTAAATGCTCTTTCCTCATCTTTATTTTCTGGAAGAGGTCATGAAAGTTTTACTGCCATCCACAATATTTTATGGTTTAAAGATAATTTAAATCAAGGATAGGTAGTTTTGTCTTGTTGGAGGTTTGCTAAATCATTTTTGTTTTTTGCTTTTTAAATATGCTTAAAATATTTCATTACTTAAAAATAAAAATGTTTTCAATGCTAGAATGAATAAGTGAAATAAATTTTTAAGTTTATTGCTGAGTGTGAAAAGTCTTAATACAGTTCTTTGAGAAAAATATCCATCAACTTAAAGAATAAAAAGTTCTGAACTGCTTTCCCAACATTTACAGTACTTTCTTCAATATTTCAAACTCTAAAAACCATAAAATTAACAATATTAATATTTTAATTTTACAAAAGTTAAAATGTGAGACTATGGTGTATTAAAATATCCATGAGTTTTTATCTTCGTAGGGAGGAAGAATCTCTATTCCACTCACATCTGAGCTGATTCTATGCTTGTTTTAGCCAACTACATCACAAAAATGATACTAGGTGATTTCTGATACTGAGTTTTACATGACAAGTGGTTTCTGCTTGCTGGAACATTCCTGCTTTTATCTAAGCTACCATGTTGTGAGGAAGCCCAGAGACCACATGTAGAGGCAAACTGAGGAGAACTGAGGTCTCTGGGCAAACCCAGCTTCACCCATTCCAACTGACTTCCCACTATATGAAACTCCCAAGTCCACCCACATTATCATGARAAATAACTATTTATTGTTCTAAAGCATTAAATCTTAAGATGATTTGTTAAACAGTAATGTATTACCAAATTGGATACTCAAAGAAGTTAGTGGTTCACTTTTAAGAGCAATATTTAATGGAAATTAAGACTACATCACTTATTTTCAAAACTTTCATCYTGTGTATTTTTCCTCCACATTAAGTTTTTTTTTCATAAATTAGCATATCCAGGCATTGGTGAAAACTCGGGCGCACAAATAACATGCTGCCATTTCACTCAGAGTAAAGCAAGGAAGAAGCGTATGATCCTGATACTATTTACATGTGAGTAACTATGCCATGCAAAACCAAGCTGGGACAACAAGTATCCACAATTGGTTGTTTTTACTACTCCTCAGTAAGTCAGCTACGGTTATTTTCTGGGAAAATAATGATTACCTGAGAAGTTAAGAAGCTTCTTATACCAGAATAGTTGGGTTTCATTCACTTTCTCTTCAGATCTGTTTTGATAACCTGTGTTCTATTATCCAACAGTAACAAACTTCAAAGCTACACAGGCAGAAGTGAATAAAACAGGTTTCATCTTTTTAYAATCATCCATCCTAGCTTTAAATCACTCACATGGATTTGATAATAATATCCTTAGYCTCAGGAATTTTTCTCATGATTATAGGAAAGTCCATTACAAATGTATGGATATTAAGCTTTAATCCACATCTATCAACTCCTAGGAAATGTTGACATATAAGATCTCTTCTTCTTAAACAAGCTGATTCATTTTTAAGAGATTATAGTAAGAGACAGATTTAAGTATCATATACACATATATATGGGTGTGTTCACATGTATGTGTGTGTGTATATATATATATATATATATGCATGTATATGTTTGTATATGTTATACGTATATAGATAGATAATATATATAACCCCACTTCAAGTATATGAAAAAATAATGATTGGATCTGGTCCTTGCATACATATTTTCTTTTTATCCAAAAAGATACAAGGTGGATTCATTTAACTATTCATTCTTTTTTAAAATTTTTTTTGTTGGTTCTTAGTTATAGATGKCAGGAGAACCCATTTTGATAATATTATACAAGTATGGAATATATCTTATTCTAATTAGAACCCCATTTTTTTTTGGTATTGGGGATTGAACTCAGGGGTACTTGACCACTGCACCATATCCACAGCCCTATTTTTTCGTATTTTATTTAGAGACAGGGTCCCACTGAGTTGCTTAATGTCTCACTTTTGCTGAGGTTGGCTTTGAACTYGTGATCCTCCTACCTCAGTCTCCCAAGCTGCTGTGATTTCAGGTGTGAGCCACCATACCCTGCCTAGGACCCCATTCTTGTGAGTGGACAGGCTGGTGGGATTCACTTAGAGTTAGACTCACTCTACATTCTTTCCTAATTCTTTCCCCCCTCCCTTCCTTTCATTCCCCTTTGTTTAATCTACTGAACTTCTCTTATTCCCCCCCCCCAGCCCCTTTATTGTGGTTTAGCTTCCATATATCAGCAAACACATTCAAACTTTGGGTTTTGGGGATTGGCTTATTTCACGCAGCATGATAGTCTCCAGGTCCATCCATTTGCTGGAAAATGTCATTGTTATTCTTCTTTATGGCTAAGTAAAGCTCCATTGTGTATATTTACCATATTTTCTTTATTCATCAGTTGAATGGCAGCTAGATTATTCCATAGCTTAGTTATTGTGAATTGAGCTGCTATAAACATGGATGTGGCTGCATCACTGTAGTATGCTGATTTTAAATCCTTTGGATGTATATGCTGAGCAGTGGGATAATGGGATCAAATGGTGGTTCCATTCTTAGTTTTTTTGAGGAATCTGTTAGGTGCAGGACAGGCTGAGTAAGCTGTCTTCAGGGCATGCCAAACAAAGTTAGCTGCAGGATGACCTGGCCTCTCAAACCCTCTGTCTGGTTCTTTATCAACTATTTGCTTCAAGCCCAAACGCCCAAGCTCCCGCTCAAGGCTGAACACTCAACCCCCTGCTCAAGGCCAAACACGTAACCCCCCTTGTGCCAACAAGGCAGCTTGCAGACCCAGAGACCTCATTAGATTTGAGCTATAAAAACTCCCTCCTGCCGGGCCCCTCTCTCTCTCTTGCTATCTCTCTTGCTTTCTCTCTCTCTTGTGCTTGCTCTTTCTCTCTCTCTCTCTCTCTCTCTCTCTCTCTCTCTCTCTCTCTCTCTCTCTCTCTCTCTCTTCCTCTGTTGCACTGCTGCAATAAAGATATCTTGGTTGCTCTGAGTGTTGTAGTCACTTTCCTTTTAATCTCCATACTGCTTTCCAGAGTGATTGCACCAATTTGCAGTCCCTCCAGCAATGTAGGAGTGTTCCCTTTTCCCCAAATCCTCACCAACATTTATTGTTATTTGTATTCTTGATAGTTGCCATTCTGACTAGAGTAAGATGAAAACTCAGTATAGTTTTAATTTGCATTTCTCTAATTGCTGGAAATATTGAACATTTTTCATATATTCATTGACCAGTTGTATTTCTACTTTTGAAAAGGGTCTGTTMAGTTCCTTTGTCCATTTATTGATTTGGTTATTTTGTTTTTGTTTGTTTGTTTGTTTGTTTGTTGTTGGTGTTAAGCTTTTTGATCTTTGTATATCCTGGAAATTAACACCCTATCTGAGGTGCAGGTAGCAAATATTTTCTCCCATTCTGAAGGCTGTCTCATCATGTTCTTGATTATTTCCTTTGCTGTGAAGAAGCTTTTTAGTTTGATGCCATCCCATTAATTGATTTCTAATTTTATTTCTTGTGCTTTAGGAGTATTTTTACGAAAGTTCGTAACTGARCCAATATGTTGAAGTTCTGGGCCTACATTTTCTTCTAGCAAGTGCATTGTTTCTGGTCTAATTCCTAGGTCTTTGATCCACTTAGAGTTGATTCTTGTGCAGGGTGAGAGATAGGAGTGAACTCTGACTCTATTACATACGGATTTCCAATTTCCCCAACACCATTTGTTGAAGAGACTATCTTTTCTCTAATACATGTTTATGGGGTCTTTGTCTAGTATGAGGTGACTGTACTTATGTGGGTTTGTCTCTGTGTCTTCTATTCTGTTCCATTGGTCTTCTTGCCTATTTTGGTCAATGCCATGCTATTTTGTTATTATAGCTTTAATCATTTTTTCTGACCCAAAAGAACACATGAAAATAGTGTGGCTCTTTTTTTTTTTTTTTTCCATCTTGTATGTTTGCTACTTACCGGCTGTCCTGGCTGACCAACTCCAATGGGTCCCGGAGCTCCTGTTCTTCCTTCTTGACCTCTTTCTCCCTGAAAAAGTACAGTGGGCACTTTAAAATAAAACATAGCATAAAATAATCTGGAGATTTCAACAAGGATAAATACAAAATAGCCAAACTTTTAATATCCATAAACATGTTTAAAATCTGGAGAGAGAAAAATGAATTTAATTTGAATTTAAGTAAACAAATTACCCTCAAATGTTTATCAACTCTTCTTTAAATGCAATACAGCACTTTTCTCTTTCACAATCTATCCCATAGTAATGGTAAGATGAATGGCTTGGCAATTCATTTTGGACACCAATGGGACAAACTAATGATATTTGTGCTATTCCTGGCCATRATCCTGGAATGTATTCATCCCTTGTCCCTACTCTGTCCCTTCCCCCTCTCCCTTAAACTCTGTTTCATACTTGATCTCCTGTAGAATGCTTCTCCAATAACTCTACCCATAGAAACCCTGCTTTCCCTGGAGTCTCAATGTACTTATTGTTGAAATGTTACCTATGCTGACACTTGATTACATTCAGAGTACAGTTTTAGTGCTGCATCAAAGTCTTATTTTACTACTGCATCAAGGCCTTATTGTCCCAAACACATTTAAAATAAGCACYTCCACTCCATTCTATCCAGTCTGGTACAGAGCATCCCAGGAGGGCTGTTTCTTACTTTCTATTTCCCTGCAAACCTTTTTGTCAATAATTATTTATTCAGTGTCCTAGTTTCTCTGGTTCCTGCCCATCTATACTTATTTAATGTGAGCAAGTAGTAGTTGATGTGTTAAGATATTTTACTTCGCAATAACATATTTGTATGTTAATGTTTAAAGTGTGGAAACTCAAAAGAGCTACACATATTTTATGAGTGAGTGGATATTTAGAGATAAGCAAATTTTCATTTCAATCAAAATATGATTAATTGATTRTTCTTGTGACAACTGCCCCTGGTCAGAACATTGCCGTGTCCAAAGATGCAAATGTCAGTAACTTCTGCAGGGAATCTCCTCATGTTTACTATGATTAGGCTGAATTGGGTTCAAATCACACTCCCCCAGGTTTTACAATAAATTCAATAGTCATCAATAGACAAAGAAACAATCATCCTTACCTTAATACCCTGTTGTCCAATACCAGGGGCTCCTGGAGGACCATACGGGCCAGGAGGACCTGGCTCACCCTGCAGGGAGAAAAAGTGCTATGTTAGGTCAACTTAGTAGTAGTCATTGAGCAGCTCTGAGATGTATAGTGTTGTGATAGGGCTTTGGGGGTAACAGTGGAACCTAGGATACAGCCTCTGCACTCAATCATCTAAAATCCATTTGGAAAGACAACAGAGTCCCAGAGTTGAATTACCTACTAGGCTYAGTGGGCACAGTCTCTAGGGCCCACAATACTTGTAGGAACCTGTGAACATGTTTCCATTTTAATTTTTTAAATTATTATAAAAATCAACATCATAWTAATGAATATGTAATAATGAATTAAGCCTGAGTTGTATTTATCTTTATATTAACTCAGTCATACATTTTAAAATATTTTTTCCTGGATGAAGTGATCCTCTAAGGCAAACATTTTTAGGAAATATGAAAGCTGCAGTGTAGCCCTCAYTCATTCATTAATATTTTTGTTCGGTGCTTTGGCAGACTCCAATGGCTACCCTYTCTCCCTGTCTCCTACCTGCTGGTAGAAGAACCCTGATCTGCTCATGACAAGGGCAGCTGCTCTTTGCTCTCACAGGTATGGGATGAATGATAAGTAATCTAACTCAAGCCTGGGATCCCCTTTCCCATTGCTACCCATTAGTCTSGGTTGATCACGTGACTCAGTTCTAACAAATGAGATGGAAGGGACCTTGCTGGATGTAAAGGAAAAACCTTTGGCCTCTGTCTTTTCTTTCCTACATGGAGATGTGGTAATGTCTTGTATCCATGATAAAACAATCTCTACTATAGGAGCCAAGAGCAGAAGAGGATCACACAGAGCACATGGAGAAGAGCCTRACTGTTGGATAACCTTGCTGAGCAGCCAGTCCAGTCCCGGACTACCTACTGCAAACACTCTCTTCACTCAACAGTGAGAGTTTTTGTGATTTAAGCCACTCTTAGTCAAGATGTTGTAACTCAAAGCCAAAACATTTTTAATTAATTCAGACTACCATGGGGCAGGCCCATAATAGAACTCAGGCATCTCAGAACTAGATGGGACCATGACACTCAACCTTCTCCATTTCCCAGATGGTAAACCTGAGTCCAGACAGTTACCTGGTCTRTCCCAATTCACACCTCAACATCACTCACAGATAGGACTTTTCCAGTCTCTCAGGCATCTGGCCCTATAACATGATGATAGRAAAAAGGATTCCAATTGCTATTGATTTCAATTGTCCTTTTTAATACTGCTAAGTTTTTTTCACTTATTAAAATAATATATTGTCATTGTAGAAGACCTGTCATGTATTAAAAAGCATACATTTAAAGAAATTTTTAAATTACTTATCTATAATTCCTATTAATTTTTAGTGTGTTTCTTTCTAGTTTTTGTAAATACACATGAATTTTTAATTTATGCTAAGGAAGAGTTCTGAATACTCTTGTGTTTGAGTTAAATAATACTTGCTATTGAAAATTTCATTCAACAAAAAAGACAATTTTCATAAAACCAAAGATTTATCTCTTTGTGCATGCAAACAGAAAAGTGGAACCGAAATTGAGACTAACCTTCTCTCAGATTAAGGGAAATAAAAAAAAAAAACTTTTCATTAATTTTAAAATCTCCCTTTGCCCTGGAGACTTGTGATTTTGCAGGGGACACTTAACAATCAGAGCAATGTATTGTTAGTAAGGGAATTATTTTAGAGCAGTTGTTAACTTTGAGCATTGCAAAGGAGAACGAGAARGGACAAGAAGAAATCAGTTCCCCAAAATATATACCCAAACTCAAGATAAATTAAAACAAAAGAAACCTGTCTTAAAATCAGTTGCCTGAGATGGGCACAGTGGTGTACAACCATAATCCCAGTGGCTCAGGAGGCTGAAGCAGGAGAAGGCTTGCAAATTAAAGCCAGCCTCAACAAAAGCAAGAATCTAAGCAACTCAGTGAGACCCTGTCTCTAAATAAAATATTTTAAAAGGGCCGGGGATGTGGCTCAGTGGTTAAGTGTCCCTGGGTTCATTCCCTGGTACCAAAAAAAAAAAAAAAAATCAGTTGCCAGAATTTTTGATTTTTTGGCAAATAAGTGGTTTGATATAAATGTATTTACTGTTCATGCTATTGAGGACAAGTCAATCTGGCAGATAAATCAACTAGAATTTACTTTTTAAAATCTTTGGGTTGTACTTGTTTTTCTGTGTAGTTTAAATCTAGAGTGGACACAACACAGCCGTTCTTATTTTACATGTTCTTTGTCAAGGAACTTCTCTCTTTTTATAATATCAGACATAAAAATTKGCACTAAATTTGAAGCTGATTTCTTAACATCAAAGTAAAAGTAAATGCTAAAAATTATTCAACTTTCTAGAGCAAATTTTTTGCTTCAAGGAACCTTTATTTCTTCTTTCTTTCTTTTACAACTTCTGTGCTCTGCACTCAAGTTGAAATCTCTTTGTAAATTGYGGACGTCCCACATGAGGGCCTGTTGCCATCACTCTGCAAATGAACACCAAGTACTTGTTCTGTGGAAGGTTAGGACTGAGAAGTCTAGGACACAGTTCCTAAACGTAGAGAACTGGCTCAAGAGATGCACCATCAAAAAACTGCGATAATAATTTTAAACCCTAAGTTCATTTATTTTCTTTTCTATACTTCCTATATGTACTTTTGGTTTTGTAAGAGGCGATAAGGCATTTAAACTATGCATCTGATAGTGAACTTGAGGATTTTTGATTAGTGGGAGCTCTGCCCTACTCAGTACTTAACTACAGGTTTGATCAGAAACAAACCAACAGCACAGGTCTGTGACAAAGTTTCTTCTGACTACTTTCAAAGCATGGTTTGGTTATTATATTAAATGTGTGAACCAGGAAATCAAGAGATGCAACTCTGTTACTCTTGAACTTATGGGTTCCCCTTAGGCTTGGCCAAGTAYCAAAAACAACTGAGAAATTTTTATTATTACTTTTTTCAAGGGAATTACAGGAATCCAAAATGATTGCTTTCCCTTACCTTAACACAGTCCCTCAGAAACATAACTTCACATTTCCCTTGCTTATATTGATTTCTCAGGAGCCTAACATCTCAATGTAGGACCCACTGACCAATAAAGGTACATAATTATTATTTTCCCTTGACCTTTCCTACAAAAACTCTTGTAGTAGTAATGGAGGTGGTCCTCATTGTAAAAKATGATGTTGAGACAAGACCAAGCATGGGAGGAGAGGCAGCACTCTACTTGGAATAGTTTTCTGGAAATTTACTGAGACAACACACTGTGGGTAATACTATAGGCTTGATTCCTTTCCTCCTATTATTCCTGCCCCCAACACTCACCAACACACACACACACACACACACACACACACACACACACACACACACACAGAGAGAGAGAGAGAGAGAGAGAGAGAGAGAGAGAGAGAGAAATTGCATGCCCATAATGCCTACAGTACCAACTGTACTTATTTCTCGACTTCACTTTCTTTGATGACCTGGGTCAACAGGTGAGGATAACAAAGAGGAGTAGCCCCCAAAGAAAGTCTTGTTTCATAATCTCTGTGATTGTGAATATACATGAATGTGACTGTGAACCATGTGTGGGAGCAATGAGACCACCTTGATCCTCCTTGGAAACTAAGAACACCCCTGCTTCTATGGACCTCAAGAGCAGAGGAAGCCCATATTTAATGAGACCGACTATTTCATTATCTCTTTTAATCTTATGATAATCCTAGAAAACAGGGGTTTGATTCCATTTATACTGTAGGAATATAATCTTTATTTTTTAATTGACTTTTCAGCATGCAGGGAATCTATGGGGTGTGGGAGGTATGGCTTTTGGAATTATCCCTGGTTCTATCACTTACTAATAATTTGAACTTTTGCAAGATCCCAACATGAAAAATGATGATGATTATATCTACCTTGCAGGGTGGTTGAGAAGATTCAAGATATTGTGTGTAAAATAGCTGTTTAATATATGTAGATTCAATTGTTATTCACCAGGTCTTTGTTGACCAAGCTGACACCAGGTTTTGTGCTCCATAAAAGGTCTGGTGAATAAAAATCTATGCCTATAATTGAGTACCAGTTTACATAATTAGAGACATAAATCAGATTGCGCCTGCACTTTGCAGAAGTTTACAATCTGGCTGGAGACACAAATGAATATGAAACAAAATACAAGCATGTAAATTATCTATAATAAAGATATTAACAGAGCATACAAGTCTCTGAGGCAGAAATATTTAATTCTGCCTCAAGGAACTGAGAAAGTTTCATGATAATGAGGGAATACTTGAGCTGAATGAAGAGGTAGCAATCATAGTGAACCTGGTAGGAAAGAAAAGGAGCAAAAGTTCAAAGAGAGGAAACTGTGAGGCATAAAATGACATGAAATGTTCTGCAGAAAGTAAGTACAAGGAGCCAGAAACAGAGTGACAACTGGGTCACTATCTGGAGCTGCACTGTCCAGTGGAAATACACAGTGACTATGTATGTAGTATAAATTTTTCAATAGTCTTATTAAAAAGATAAAAAGAAACAGGTGGACTATAATTAATAAATATATTTCACTTAAAATATCTAAAATGTTATTATTTCAACATGGAATCAATATTTTAAAAGCATTGATGCTTATATTTTTCACTAGTCTTAATACTAAGTCCTTGGAAACCCAGTCTTATTCTGACAGCAATCTCAATTTGGATGAGCCACATTTCAAATGCTCAGTAGCTACATGTGGCTACTTTGTTAGACAGTTTCATAGAAATTAAAGAGCCTTGAGCATTGGGTCAGAACCATGGACAGTAACAACATTTAGGTGGAGGAAACATGGAAGTTCTAGCAAGACATCTTGCAGGAGGCTGGAGGAAAGGAGCATTTCAAAAGTCATTTCTAAAGACAGACGTAGTACCTTTCACTCACAGACTTGGTCATCCTCCAGTCTCTTCTACCTAAGGAAAGGGTTCACAATCTCTCCTGTGTCAAACCAGAATTGAGGGGACTATTCTTCCTCTCCTCCTC